AAATGATCTTGAAGAAAGGTACTTATATAATGTAAAAGTTTTGAAAGGTACCATAAAAAATATTCGTTAATGTTACATTGATTACACAAAAATGTAAGCACATACTTATTTTCACCATCTTTGGATTTCTTAACTCCCATTTCTATCTCGCTTATTTCACTCTCTGCTTTTGCATATCAAAACGCCCAGAATGACGCCTCCATCCCAAGGGTACAATACCGCACATTACTTTTCATACATAAATACATGCATATATACATATATACTTATAGAAATGATAATATTTTCAAATGGTAAAGAAATTATTATATTTACAAATGGAAAAGAAATGATAATATTTTCAAATATTAAAATGTTCTTGACAAAGACTTTTGAATTGTTATATAATTTTAGCAACAATTGAATAGTAAAAATGACAAGAATATTGCAATTCTTTGTTTATTTCAATTAATCAAAACATTTAAAATAATCATATAGATTATCATAAAAAAACTTTAAGTTGTTTATATTCGAAAACCTTTTGTATTAAAAAATCTTATTGTAAAGTGTAATTTGTAGTTTCTAAAAATAATTATATAATATTTTTATTTTAAAGTTACTATACAAATATATTGATATAAAACAAATTATAATTTTAATTATACAACTTTAATTATACAAATTATAATTATATTTTTATTGTTTTTATCAATAGGTAGAACATAAAATTTGTTTAAATTTGTATTACCAATATATTAAAAGGATTAAAAAATAGTACTTCAATTACTTAGTGTTTTACTTCATTTACTTAGTGTTGTTTAACTATATTAAAATTTTTAATAAATATAATGTAAATAGTTATTCAAATATATGTATTTTATTATTATTTTAAGTAATTATGTTCTTTTGTTCTTTGAGATACTATATTTGCATTAAAGACTAAAAAAATTTTCAAATATTTGAATATTAATGTAAAATGATTAATGAACTAAACAACTGTATATAATAAAATTTAAAATAATTACTTTGTAGGATGTAATATACCAAAATTAATTGAGAATTCAATATTGGCAAACTATTATAAGGTTTTCTTTTAAAAGGATTCCCTGTAATTAATATTCTACCCAACAATCGATCAAGTTATCAGTCGACCCCTGCAATTCAAACGTGTTTATGTTTTATCGATACACTTTAAGCTAGTATTTTAGTAGTTCTTCTAATGATTCATCGGGCAGGGCCGACTCTAATCACTTTTCCTCAGTAAACAGTGCGCATTGCAGTTATAGCTTATCCAGACTATTATCAAATACGTAGATTATTTATTATTTGCGCATATAAAATAATCGATTTTATAATACATTATAGAATTCTATAATTAGTTAAGTTAATATAAAGATAAAAATTGTAAATTAAATTTGCATAAGGAAGATATATTTTTTTATTTTACAAAAACTTCGATATACTAATAATCATTAACCGATAAAATATTAAATTTTTTAATCTACCTACAGTACCAAAAATGTAGTAAAGAAAAAATTAAAAAATGTTTTTGATTGGTGTTAAAATAATTACCCATGTTTTTAGAAATAGTGATACATATAATGTTAATATAGACAAAAAGCAGTCAATAAAAAGCATTTCGAGGAAATAGCGAACTAGCAACTAAAAAGACGACAGAGAATGAAAAAAGTAACTGACAGCAGAAGACACGATCCTTAGCTAACGTTCGACTTCAATGTCTATGGGAATACACACAGAAGCCATAAAGAAATACGATATCTTCTCTGTTGCATGAGTCAAGCGCGTTTGCTGTATGTTTCTTTGCCTCGATGGTGCTTCCCACTTCCTCCTCAACCACGTGCACACTGTCTGGTCACCGTACCTGATGACGGTGTTGATAACGAGGACGGTAATCACGTGACGACTAAGTTCAATCTAACAAATACCAATAGAATGCTAACCATGTGTTCAACAAAAAAAAGTATATAGATACATAAATAACAATTTTCAAATTTTAAAACGAGATTAAAAAATTATGAATATTACGGTTTCTTTATATAGTTCCTAGCATGTTTATTCCACATATTTAGCTATCAAATAATTTTTTTTGGATAAATTAATTGAGGCCTTATCCTTATCTAAAATATTTTACTATGTAACCGTTCATAATCTGTTTAATTTAATTATAATTTAAATTAATTTAAATAAAATAAACAAAAATAATGAAAAATAATTATTACATATATATTATATTTTTATAATATGATTTAATATATTTATAATATAATGATACATAGTTTTCAAATATATTACTCATACCTAACATAATTATTTTAAAACATATTATTGTTTTAAATTTCAATTCATAATGATTAATATTAAGACTTGCTTTTATATTAAAAAAAACGCTAAAACAGACAAATAAATTATGAAATCACACTAATTAATGTGCAATTATAACATAAAATTAAACTAAAATGAAATTTATAGTTAAATGTGTAACTATCAAATATATTTAATATTATATGTATATAATGTAATATATAAGTAAATATAGAATTAAATAAAATTCTATAACGAAGGCATAAAATTTATATAATTTACGATTAATTTAATTTACGATGGATTATACGATAAATATATTTTTAATATCTAAAGAAAGGTATATTGTTGGTCGTGTAAGAAACGCGATACATTATGTTATGAGTTAAACACGCTAACTCACTGTTAGATCTAAAATCAGATCTGGAGCAACGACCTTATTAATAACACGAACCCTACGTATATAGATGTTTGCTCTCTCACAAAGTCAAAACGAGTACTATTCATGCTGTCTTCTCCCTTACAATAAAATTATTGACAGTTGCTAAGTTTCTTCCACATGAAATTTTTAATATTTTAGATATTACTCGTTTAGTTAATAATCCACATTTATTATTGCCACTATTTTCACTAAAATAAGGTTTAAAACATTAAATGTTAAATAAATATCGATTGGTACAATATAGTCCATTTTCTTATTCAAAATACCAAAATTAACGTTAAAAATGAAATTACTGACGAAACGAAAGTAAGTTGAATTAATCAAGGACTCGAAAAAAATCAAAATGTCTAACCAGTTGCTTTTGTCTTTAATTCAATTTATTATTAATATGACTTTTAAAATGTATTTTTAAATTATTCTTTAACTATTAAGACATAAAATTGTTCTTTACTAACAGTAAAATCGAACTTTCCAGGTCCTTTTTTAAACGTACTTTAGTACATTATTTTTCTTTGTGTTACATACTTTAGTCTTTTAATATCGTAACTTTATAATGCTAGATTTTGAAAAAAACAAATTTTGAATATTTATATTTTTCTTTAATCGATGAAAAAATTTTCTTTGAAATAAACAAGCAACTTTAGATTGAATGTTTTAATTTTGTTTTAGATCTTCAGTAGAGATGTTTCTCATCAATGTTGTATTTCTTTAAATGACTATAAATATGTGACCGGAATATATAAAATAAAATTACTAATGAGAATAAAATAAATAATGTACTGATTATTTTATTATTCTATTAAAATGTTAACATTTAATTTAATTTATTTCATTAAAATGGAAATTTATATGATGTTTTTTAGAATTATGAATATGTAAATAACAAACCTGTTATTTACACGGAATTTTGAAGAATATGAAGGACAAGTTTATTTTATGTTTTTGACTAAACTATATATTTTTTATTCTATGGTTCAATTAATTTTATCATACAACTCAAAACTATTATTGCAAATTAAAATTATAAACATAAATATTGAATTTAAAATACGTGGATATATTTTTGGAATGTCATTTATAAATTACATTATTGCTATATTACTGTATCTTTAGAAGTTTACGTCAGAAAGATGTTATAAATTAACAAAAAGTAAGTGATTTACAATATGAGAATCTTAAATAAATATTTTTCTATTATATGGACAAACTTATCATTGTTATATTTTTTAAGAATTATTAGATATTTTCAATGTTTGTCATGAGAAATTAATTGCTTATTGTGAGTGAAGGGATTATTTATTTTTATTATTAAGAATTCCTTCTGTATAATACTCAGCCATAAAAAGGAGTTTTTTCTGGAAACTCTCAACCAATATTGAACCTGAAACGTTGAACAAACTCCTACTGTAGTTATACAGCTATTATTTGCTTCCGAAAATATTTAATGTCTACCTCGAAGTTTTCTGTTTCTCAGTCGAAGAAAGATCTACTTAAATTCTCAACCACGCTGATTTCTCGAGTCAAGAGCCAGGAATTTGTGTGACATGTGATGACTACATTATTGTGTTTTTAAATACCATTTCCACGTCAACCTTTCGACCCACCTTCGTAATAAATACGCGTCTTTATGAATATCAACCCTGTCGCTTCAAAATGTTACTTTTTCTCTTTCTTTTAAAATCACATTTTAGATAAATGCTTTGAAAAGGAAACTTCTGGCTAAGTACTGATTCCAATCTAATAAAAATCTTTATAAAACTGAAGATTAAAATGAAGAAAAACATTTATTTAATGTAAGTATATTATTGTTTTTATTAGTTTTTATCCAATGAATCAGATTTTAAATAGTTTAAAATTTTTATTTATTGGTATTTTTTAAGAAATTATATCATTTTTAAACCAGTAACAATTATAAATTTATTATTTTAAAGTATTTTAATCAAAATATTCTATTCATTATTGATTAAACCCACTCTAATTCGTTTCAAAATTGTTTATGCATTTATCTTAAAAATAAATAAGTTGATTTTAGAATTTTATTACTTAATTTATATCAATGTCGAATATTAACATCGAAATACAATTAAATGAATATATATTTTCATCACTCTTGCACACATCCAGTATGTCAAAATTGTTGTAATACTGGTTACTTTTTTACTTTCAAACTAATCTATAAATTAGGACAAGTTGCAATAAAATAGGCTTGTTACAATTGGACATCCATGAATTGATGCATAAAATTATATATACTTACTTGTGCTCAGAAGCTCGGTCTCGCTGCCGGCGATTCTTGAACCAATTGCTTACTTGTGTGGTGGTCAGTCCGGTAGTTTCGGCAAGCTCCTGCTTTTCTCGTGGCGACGGATACGGATTTGCTTCATACCATTTTCTTAAAACTAACCTCGATTTTTCTTTGAAACAGTACGATGTCTCCTCGCCGTCCCAAATTGTTCGCGGAAGAGGGAATTTGCGCCGTACCCGATACTTGCCTGCAATTAAAACAAAACAATTGATTATTTAGCAACTATTAAATTGTGACAACATTTCGAATAAAAAGACTATTAAAAGATTTATGTAACAGTTTGTTTTATAAATTAATTTTACTTAGTTATGCTGATCAACACTACTGTTTGTATAATTTGATTTGATCTAGTCTTAATATGTATATTGCTAATGAAATATTTAAAAAAATATATTATTAATATATATCAGTGATTAAATATTTTATATGTTATTTATTCTAGAAGTTTTTATCACATTTCTTAAGTATTGGTAACTTCGTTTGAATTTTACTAAAATATTATTCAAATTAAACTAGCAATCACCTATTGCTCAACCAATTATTAGCAGCTGATGTAACTATAAATGCTGTTAGTAATGTTTTTATCATTACCATATTCAAGCCTATATTTTTTATTAATTTTGTACATTACTAGATGTAAATATATTTCACAACTTTAATTTTGCATATTTATTTTGATATATTAAAAATGTAGTTAGGTAATCAATTTAAAATTTATTGTGAAAACAAGCTGCATTTTAATATCTGTTTAATAAAATATTAATCTTTAATTAATAAAAAAAAATACATTAAATAAATAAATAATTGAAATCTTTATTAATATAATAAAGCAATATACAAATATTTTAATGTAGTTCGTAAATTTATGAACTATTTTTAAAATTTTTAATTAAATAAAACTAATACCTAAAATTGATTAATATAAAATTTTATATATTTCCATGACTTGATTATATTCTATAAAATAAAATAATACTTTGTTTTTGTATTTCTAAAGTATGTATTCAATTCATAGAAATATGTGTAATATATGAAAGTACACTACTAAGTATTAACCAATTAATTTTTATTTTATTAAAAAGATGAAGCTAACATACTTCGTCATACCATAAATAAAAACCTCTTCTTCATAAAACTAAAAGAATGTAGAATACTACATTGCTAAATTTTTATTTATTAAATTAAATAAAATTATGAAATCAATACATAACATTTAATTTAATTTTCATATATGAAATAGCTACTATTAATATTTTTAATATTTTTAATTTATTATAATGTTAATACTTGAAATATTTAAAAAAAGAATTCAATTTGAAATTATGATGGAATTTAAATTTATACTTAAATTTTGTCATTCCTATGTGGTTTTGTAATATATCAAAGTTTAACTGTTATACTCAATTGCATAATTATTATTTTAACTTAATGACTTTAGTGTACTGCATTACGGTGTAAAAAGAATAAATTATTAGTAATAGAATGAAATTTTCTAAACTGATAAATTGATAAGTGTTTCTTAATAAGATCTGTTAAATTATTTGTTATATTTTTAATTTATATTTTAATTAGTGTTTTTATTTTATAAAAGTGAATACCTTTAATAAAAATATAAAGAAATATAAAGAGTTAATATTGTTTTTTAAAAAGCCATCTTTAATAGAAAGTGTACATTTTTAAATATAAATCTAAAATTATACATATATATTAATCAATGCAAAATTAAATAATAAGTGGAGAAAAAGAGAGAGTGAGTAAAAGTCAGTGAGTTAGAGAGAAAGAGAGAGTTAAATTTGGTGTAAAAAAGAAACAAATATGAAAATTTGTTTAATGTCACAGTATATCATAGGGATGAATACTAACCAACGGCACCCAAGGGTCTGCCTCGTAACCTCTCTGCCTCGACGTAATGCGCTTTGAGCCAAAGAAGCTGGAGCTTGGCATGGTTGTGTGAACTGAAGGAATGGTTCTCGAGAATCTTGTAGAGTTCCTTGAACTTGCCGTGGTGAAAAGCCACAACGGCCTCGGCCTTCAAAACGCTCTCATTCTTTCGGAGACGCGCGCACTCCGGCAGTGACCAGAGGAACCGTGCCAGCCGGTCGACACTCCCTGCCTGCTGGAGCACCTGAACAGACGACACCATCGTCTTCATAGACGATAGACAGGGGGGGCACACTGTTAGTCGGCAGAACTCATCCCGCTCTCCTCTTAATCTAGTGTATCTTGTATATTTTCGTATTCTGTTCATTATATAATTTACATGTGCGTGAATATAAGCTTTGGAGTCTTGATATTTTTAATCATTTTTTCGTAAATTACATTGTAATATCTTGAAATTAATGTTATTCTTATTTCAAGAATTCAAAGCTCTTCATTGATGCATTACGTGTCGTATATTAGATTTTTGATTTGTAGTGAAAATCTAATGAGATTGTACTTTGAAAAGAAAGTTTCCAAGTTCCATACATTTTATAAAAATTTTAATGTTACAAGAACAATTAAACTCTTAATGACAGACTATTCGTTTGAATTAAGTTTGATTAATAGAAATCAAATTCTATTAAATTCAATGTTTTTTCTTTTGGTATTAAAATAATTATTTTAAGCATACTAAATTCAAATTATGATAAAAATATGTTACACAATAAGTTTTTGAACATAAAAATATTTTTTTATAAATTATTCTTATATTAATTTATCGTCTGTGTTACCAAATACAATATAACTTTTAATTTCTTCTTTTAATTAAAATTTTGTCATAATTAAATCATTTAAATTTTAAATTTTCAATATTATTCAATTAAATTTTCAATATTAATTTGCATAATTCAGAATGGTTCATTAAAATAATACTACTATTATTTCAAGAAATTATATTTAGATCATTTCATAATTAATTACATATGATAATCTGCGATTAAAATGAGAAATTTGGAAAATTGTCTTATAGTCTGTTCTTTATAGCCTATAAAATAATAATTATTATTCAGAAATACAAGACAACTAGCTCCCACGTCACACGGACAATTAATATATAAACTTGATCAATAATTTGCTTCATACTTCTCTGTAATAAGCTATTCTAGCTATTTTTATTGGTGTGTGTGTCCGTGTGACGAAGGTAAAGGAGCGAAGTTTTTAGCCGTGCACATACACGCGAAAAACCTAATATTATTAGCCCTTTTTTTCCTTTCATTAAAAAATATGTCTCAACAAGTTATAAATATAATAGTACATAAAAATTAATTGTATATCTGAGACAGTATTATTAACACTAAATTCAGTAAAGAACCAAGACAATAACCAAAAAATAAATTTGAAAGGAAATAAAAAGTTAAGCGTAAACAGTATAATTATGATTAATTTTTCAAAGTTAACATTACTTTCATTTTGTAAATCTTCAAAATAAAATTTCAATATACCTTATAATTTGTACAAAATTTTGAGCTAACGTTACATTTATTATTTTAATCATAAAATTATGATTAAAATATTTTATATATTTTATGTACATTTTAATTAAGAAACGTTAATGTCATAGTTTTCGATGTTGATTTGAAAATTACGGCAAGCACATTAATGAATTTACGCGAGACTGTAAAAATGAATCGAGAAGGAACGGGGACTATATGCCTCGATTACTAGCAATCGTTTGAAAAAATGAATATATTTGTGGATGCGTGGTAAACGACACGATTGTCGACATGCCGACGGCAGTAAGATTTTTCGTATGGATGTTGTTTTTTTTTATTCCCAACTGTGTCCCTCGTTTGTGAGTGTCATGATTACTTCTTTGTACGCTTCGTTAAAAAAGTTAAAAAGAATATGCCACTGTGGTAATATAATAGTTATCGAGTGTCAACCCATCAAAAATACGACCAGCACCAAGCCTCTCTTGTTTTTACGTTACAACACAAATTTTGTATACCAATGTCACGTATTTCATGCCGAACCCGAATACGCTTACCCATGCTTTTTTCCAATTAAATTCTAATAGATACTGTTAAGATTGTATGCGCTAATGCAATATCTACAGAAACCAATAATACGACAGTAATAATGATTTGTATTTGCTAAAATATTTAATTATTATGAAAGGAATTGACATTTGGCACAATAAATCTTGACAAAAATTATGTACAAATGAATAAGTATGAATCATATACTATTACTAAATTATATGCTTAATGAATAAAATTAACTATATTATTTAACTCACTTTTTCTCTACAATTGAATTAAAGAAAAAAAATTTAACTCATTGAATTTATTTATGATCATTTTGTAGATTCTTCATGTATAATTGATATTTACATTTAGAGTTTATGATATTAATAAAAAAATTTAATATATATATATTAAACGACTACTCGAATACAATTATATTAACAATTTTGGATTGTTTATATAATTCAATGAACTTGCTAAGGTATTAAATAATTAAAATTCTAGTATTTTATTTAGGGTGCATATAAAACTGTAAAAGATAATTAAAATAACTCCTATTAAGCTAGCAAATGGACTACAATCACAATTTAATTTTTAATTTAATTAAAGTCACAGATCAGGTAACGATTAATCTCAAGTTTGTCACGAACACTTTCAGAATAATATTACACATTACTTAAACTCAAGGAGGTACGTTATTTTGTTCTAGGACCATAATGCTAAAGCAATTTCATTACTTATCAATGAATATGTGATGAGTTATATAATTTTTTTCTCTCAATTTTAATAATCATTTCTATAAGTTAACCTATTAATGGATTGGCTATTTACTATAGGTCAAATTTATTTTCACGTTGATTTAAGTTTAAGAACTGCTTTATTAGTAAATCCACCCGAATGCTATTTAAAAACTTCTGCGTTCCTAATTTTATATATATAATACACGAAAATAATTTTTTATATAATTGCAGTATACTTATTATAATTACGTAGTACAATATATTACAAAAACGTTATATTAGAAGATTGAACTATTGAAATGTAACATTGATATTAATAAGAAATAATTAGAATGTTTTAAGTGAAACATCATTTATATGAGTATTAAAAAGATTGGATAAATACTGCAACATTTCGAAATATTTTACTTCTCCAAATGTAATATTGACGGCTATTTAAGAGATGTACGAGAGACAGAGGGGGTGTAGAGATAGAGACAGAGAAAGAATTATGTACCTCACAGACGCAGGCGACCTGTTCCTGCGTAAAACCAAAACTTGGCACCTGGCCGTTACTCGTAGCAGTCACAACTGAATCCACAGGACTGTCTTGAGGGCTGTAGTTCGTAGTAGACCCATGAGCTCCATAAGGCCCAGTTTCGATTGCTGCCACTGCAGCCAGTGATGAGCTCGTCGTTCCTTGAGGGTTGTATTCTGGCTGAGACTGGGTCTGCTGTTGCTGTTGTTGCGGCGGCGGTGGCGGTTGTTGTCCCGCGTTGCCGAGGACTACGTCACTGGCTGCAGAGGTGGCTCCCATTGCGGAACCGCCAGCTCCCCCGTAGGCCATCATCACCTCATTGCCTGGCGCCAAAACAAGGACTTGCCTTTTACTTTTGATGATGCTATGGCCCTTTTCAATTTGGAACCGTCACACTCAACTTGAGTCAATTTTATTGTTGCCTAAGGTCGCGGTAGTCGATACATGCTGATCCCGGAGGATACGAGATCAAGCTAACAAGCAAGTAAAAGGAGGTAAGTATTTTCTGAACACGTTCACTCGTCCTCGGAGACCCGTATCAATAGCACACGACAGAGTAAGAGGATAATTCTCATATATTCAGACTTTTCAAATAAACTGTACCTACTTGTCTTACATGTGTGTTGAATCTGATTATTAGGTGTAATGATCGTCTTTTCTCTTGCACTAGAAATTATTGCTTTACTTTGTTTTCGTTTCGGTTTTAATCCGATGCGGCTGTCGACGACACTGCTTTCTGTTCTTCCTTCCTCATAGCTTTTCTTTCCTTACTCATCCCGGTCCACGTACATCGGGGTCTCCACCATCCCTTTTCCATGGTGTGCGTGCAATATCACGCAATAATTGACAATGAAATTGTTTTGATCACTGCCAGAGAATTCCCAAGTCGAAAATTTGTGAGAACGGTTTCGTATTTCTACGTGACTCTACAGTAGAGGAACGAAAAACTGTGAATTGCCGTTCAAGTAAGCAATAGAGAACGAGGCTGTCCGTGTATTAATAGAACGTTGGATATGCGAGCGCAGCTAATTTTAGAAGACCTGTATTAGAGAAGCCGCTGCAGCAATCGCGGCCGTTGTCGTCGTGTGTTGGTTTAGGCGTCCGAAATATCTTTGACAATCTTTTTGTTTAAGTATATAATGCTGTAAAATCAATAACACTCATCGTCCTTGGGCATATTGGCACACAGTTTGACCCTGATTAACTACTCGTCTACTACTTTTAATGTACTCTCATATTAAGATGGAGGACAATAATGATGACGATATTGACGGAATTCGGCGCTGCCATCCAATCAAAACCTCTTCTTCACGATCCCACTTATTTTCTTTACTCGTTTACATGCGATAGAGCACTTCGGAAATTATTCTTTTCTAGGAGACACAATATGTATTGTGATATAATTGTTAGTCCGGAAGTTTTATCTTCTTTTCTACACAATTGAAACTACGAGGATTTATTCTTCACGCGCGTATTCCATAGAAGCTTACCAGTCGGACGCGCGTTTCCGAGTCGACTGAGTCGTTCGCAACCAAATCGAGACACGACGGCAGCATACACCATGAGAAAGATGTGAGCGCAGACAGAGAGAAAATATGAGGAAGGCAGGACAAAATATATCGGGAGTAAGCAAGAAGGAATGATGAACGAAATGGGAAGAACAGTAAAACTGTGAGGGTGTAATGAATTGTAGGGGGAAGACAAACTCCAAGGGACACGAGTCTCCTATTGGTCGTGGGTGTGGTGTTGAATGACAGTTCAACCGACTTGAAGCTCATTCGTTCTAACGCCAGTATACGATAACCATATCGAGACGCCATTGGACAGAAAAAGGCAACGCCTACCAGCAGTGATTTTCATCCTCCCATCTAAGAGTGTTCCGCACTTTCGCGTTCTGTTAGCAAACTATAAAAAGAGAAACAGAAAGAGAGAGAAAGAGAGAGAGAGAGAGAGAGAGAGAGAGAGAGACAGACATACAGACAGAGAGAGGGAGAGAGAGGTAGGTAGGTTAGAAACGAGTAAAAGTGGTTGTCACTAGTTTTCTTCATTAGCTAGTCGTCGTTGTCTTCCTCTGGCTTTATAAATTAGATACCATTTTTTTCTTTACTTTCTTCATTTGCGCTGATTTAATTCTTTTTAAATCTACATCTTTATATATTTTGTTGTTAGTTACTTAACGAATGAAAGAATACATTGCATTTTAAAAAATCATAGTTTTCTAATACAATGTATGTTATTAGATACGCGAGACTGTGCTTTTGTCACAATTTATTTATAATATTAACTTATTTTATAAAAAAACGTAAAGGTACAAATTAAACTATCTAATTATTAAAAATTGTTATATTAAAAAATACCAGAATCAAAAATTCCTTAAATAATATATTTAATCATGCAAATCAAAACATAATATTTCGCTACGAATATTTAAGAATACTCTTTAAAAACTCAAGTATTTATATTTATAATGTTATATACCATTATTGAACCATTATTGAATTTTTCCTCCTTTTTTAATGTTTAGTTTTTTAAACTTTTTACTTTATTTTGTTTTTATAGTTTTATTAAAATTCTAAATCAATATTAGTATATGAAACTAATGTAACATATATTACTCAAAAATAATTGTTATTGATACTTGATATTAATTAGCACATTAAGCAAATCTTTATATTTCTATAAATAAATTTCTAAAATACTTGATCTTTTATCACTCTTATAATGCGTTATAATAAGCAATAAAGTGTAATATTAATTTATAGTTTATTTGTGAAAAATTATTATGAATTAAAAACAATATTCGAATTCAGCATGTTTATTTAGTAAAATAATTTTTTTTATTAATTTCAATAAATAAATATACTCTATATTTTTATATCGTATACAATAAATAAAAAAAATTTATATAAAATTATTTTTCTAAAGTTATTTCTTGAAATAATCTCAAATCTCAAAATAACTAGCTACAATTTTGTAACAAAAAATATTTTTCAATATATACTTATAAATAAAATTTCGGTGATAATATTTTTTTCGTTTCTAAATTGTATTATTTCCTTTATAAACCAACATAAAATTAAAAATCATTAGATTATTATTTATGAATAAAATTATAAATTTCAATTTCATACCTAAATTAAAAAATATTTTTAAAAAAGTCAGTTAAGAAGTAACGATAGTAATTTAAAATATTTTGCAAGAGCTATATGTTAAATTTGAAATTTTCAATGAATTTTTTATTAATACATTATTCTTATTACTGTTATCTACATTGAAATTATATTTAAAAAAAAACAAATAAATTTACGTATTTTACCTGAAAGTGATAAGTATATTTATTAATAAATACATAAATAATTAATATTTAAGATATATGATTCACTTTTCTTTTAGAGGATTGAAAGCGAAGTTTCGTCAAGCATGAAAAGCTAGGAAGCTGACAGTATATGTTCTTCCAAATAGTGCCTACATAAAATGTTGCTTCTAGAATCCTTCTCTCTCTTTTATGTTCAAAATTTGTCCACGTAACGAGAAAGAACCAACAGTAGTGGTATCCCATGAAAATCTATGGCGGAAGTAGTACGTGTGCGCGTGCAAAGTGACATACCCTGTCCCACGTCAATCAAAGTATCGTAAGCGAGTAAATAAAAAGCGAGAGACAGAGAAAAATGCTGTCAGAAAATGACTGGAATGATCTTTTTGGGCTTGATAGTACATTAAATAAACAACACCCATGTATTATGATGTACGATGCAGTAAAAAAATACATACTACATTATTTTAAGCTTAGAAAAACCCTTAGAAAAACTCCTTAAACTGACTTCCGTCTTGCCTAACTACTCAGGGCTCATGGCTTATTTAGAAAAACATTATGTGGAGTGCTGTATATGTATTATTTTTCAAGCATATTTCAGGCTATAGCGAAGGCATGTAAATATGGAATTAGGAAATTGTTTCCAGTGGCAATAATGCTATTATTTTTCCAAAATGCATATCCGCTTTTTAGCGATAAACCGTTATACTTAGCTTATACCTTGTATGTTAACAATAATTTTGACTAATTGCACTATAATGGTATGAAGTTATTCAGAAGTTTTTCAAACTCAAATTAATACTTGATCCAGTGATGCTTATTTTGAACCTTATGATCACGTTTTTATTATTGGATAAATGTATTTCTATAAATATTTTTATGAAAAAACGGTTGTTTTAAAAATAATTCATATATCCATTAAAATATGTAAAAATAATCCAAAAAGAGCAGAATAGTCTCAGTATATCAATAATTTGCTGATTAATTTATTTATATACAATTATACATAAATTGAGTAATAAAATTATTCATTATTAAAATTTGGTAATATGATTCATACGCACAAAAAACAAACAAACAAACAAACTCAAACATAAACACAAACAAATAATTAACCGATGAATTTAATATGTTCCACTATATAATAATATTAAGTAACAATGATTCTGGTTCGTTTCGCTACTATTTTTAATTCTAAAATTTAATAATAATTTTGACGACAATGAAATTATATAGCAAGATAATCTTCATTTAACTCCAATTATTTTTATAATTTTTAAAATCAAGAATATTGTTCTTTTAAAGAATAATGTTCTTGAATAAACATGTATCAGTATAAAACGGAAAAGTAGACAAGTTAGAGAAATATTGACATTTAAGGTGTATTACTGTAAGAATAAATTTAATTAAGGAAAGGGTAAAAAGGAAGACAAAGTGTGAGCAACAGTTCATGCTTATATAATATAATGAGAAGCACTCAGCAGCGGTTCTGCACAAAGAAATATTTTCCCATCCTTCGAAGGCGCAAACCTTATATCATATAACTTATATAATATAATATAACATCTCATAATAAAGCCGTTGCAATCTCTTATACCCCCCGTAGTTCATTACAAAATAGAATGGCTCATAATTCCAGGTTTCTAACATCATTCATGCTTTCTTCTTCGAACAGTCCAACAAATAGGATTACGTTTGAATTCGGAAAACCATAATGTGACGTCCTTGAGCGGCTTTTGTGTTTCTATCGACTACGAGCTACTTTTTCATGTCAACGTATCGTTGACGCAAATGCTACTATAATAGAAAAGTCAAAGATCATCGCTGTTCCTTTGGTTCAAAAATCTCCCCCCTTCCTCAACTAGATCGTTATGAGAACAATGGTGGATCAAAGGCTGATATGCTCCAAAGTTTCAGCTGTGCTACTATAAAACTTGTCCCGCGTTTCTGAATGGAGGAATACATCAAGACAGTTACTGATACAACTCTGGCTTTGACTACTTTCTATGCGAGTAACGATAGAAGTTAGTGCCTAAGTTGATTTCTTAGGATTATTGTCCAAGCACGTACCGAGTTCTATGTTTAAATGTCATAGAATATTCGGGCGTGAATTCGGGTCCTTGTAATAAACGAGTACCTGTATTGGAAATAAACAGAAGAAGAAGAAGAAGAAGAAGAAGAAGAAGAAGAAGAAAAAGAAGAAGAAGAGAAAGAGAGAGAGAGAGAGAGAGAGTAGATAGAGAGCGGAAGACGGAAAATTGTGCAATATGTGGTAAATTTTAATGTACTTGGGTTTTCTAGAAACGCGAAAGCTCATTGTTTCATTACGAGTTTCACTTTTTTATGTCTAATAGGTAAGATGAAAATTTTACTCAAACATTTTTCAATTAATATTTTGTATTTTAATGATCGTTAATTTCTTCAATGCGAAATATATTGTAATTGTTCAATTGTTGAGTTAATTTTTTTTAATACAGGCAAAACACGATAAATAATAATTGATAAGTAAAAATTTTTACCTAGGGACTTAAACTTGAAAAATATCATAATGGAAAATATTCAATATATTTCATAAATATAACGAACAAAATTCTTTCTTTGAAAAAGAAGTCAATCAAACAAAAAATAATTATGTTTTATTTTGAATTTTTGAATCTATGATACAATACTTGAACAATAGAAGCATGAAACTTATCTACTGATTTATCAGCACATAATTTTTCCATTGATATTCAAAGTATTAAGAATAGTTATATTGAAAA